GTTGGGCTGTTAGCGTCGACTTCTGAAGAGGCTGATAATTTGCTCCTGAATGCACAGCAACGCAAATAATTATGTATTAAACAGTTCTGGAGCCTCGCGCAATCTGGATTCACAGGCTAGAAAAAGAGAGGATGGCAATGGTTTTTGCAATTTAAGGCAGTTTTGCCAACTTGATCCTGGAATGGACAAACCTTCTAAACCTCCAGTGATATTCACATCCTTTCTCTCACTTCAGCACTAAAACTAGCATCACACTTTAGAAAACTCATATTGTACACGACTACGATATAGCCTACCTGCTCTATAAGGGACGCAAATGACCTTAATTAGAGAAGTGTGGGGACAACTTTATAACTGGGAGCAAACAACACGTTGCTAGGAACTTTTAGTGTCAAACTGATGAACCTACAACCGAAAAGCCCCATTGGCCCCGGACCCATCCGCTTACTGCGGGATGATGTATGGATAGGTCGGTTCGGCCACAATTCGTAGCAGATGGCCGAACAGAAAGTGGCAAGAGGTTTTTTTACGACAGTGGTAGACCACGTTGCCACTCGAAATGTTAACTAGATTGCGAGATGATATCATATATACCACATCTCATACACATTCGCAGTTAATGAAAAAGTTAACTCAAGCTGGATAGTCATAGTTGCATATATTTCGAAAGTCTCAATGAACTTTGCAACCTTGTCTTATGCGTAAAAGTTTCGTTAGAACGAGTTTAGAGCTCATTTTTGAGTATTCTGACAATGAAAGAGAGCCAAGAGTGGTAATCTTGGCGTCTTGGCGGTGACTGCGTCGCGAATTCACACTCTCCCGCGGGAGCTCACTATTTCACCACTAAACAAAAGGGAAACAGTTGGATAACTTTTGCAGTACTTCCCGATCACAATGCAGGTTCCCTGTTTTTTCCAGTGCCATTTACCTGTGTGAAATAATCACTCTTTGCATGCAGTATCACCGGAGTGCTTAATGTGGATGAGTGATCAGATAAAGTCGACTGCATAGGGTCGCCCATATTGTCGTAGTTAGGCGCCCGCGAGCTTGTCAAGCGCGTGGCTGTCTAGATTGCCGTTAGGCTACCCTTGGCCTGGCGCGCATGTGTCATCATAGCGCCAGTAATCGACAGCCGCGCACTAGGCACGCTCGCCGGCATTCAGCCCACGCCCATACGGACGATTCCACGCAGACGTTATGTGATAGATACTTACATTTCGCCGTTCTTAGTCTCAATTGTTAAATCGTTATAAGGTTCATTGTACATTGTGAGGAAGACAACTGTTGTGAAGCGAAGAACACTAAAAATAAGACATCATCATTACTGCAGCGCTGATAAACAGTTGCAGGGATATCAACACTGCATTGCAGTCACTGCCATAGCTACCAGTGGCAGCAGTGTTATCACCTTGGGTGCTACATCGTAGTTCCACAGATACTCGCGGTAAAGGTGTCTAAGCACCCATATCCGCTGTCCTGTTTGTGTACAACTTTCAAAAGCTTGCAGGATTTTGAGCCGAGGCCATTACGGAGGCGGTGAATCCTCAAGCAGATTAGGGCAAGCCAAAGCGGATCCCCAGGGGATTCCCAGGGATTGACTCTCATTTTAAAAGTCATTTATCTCTCGGACAACTCAACGAAAACGCTGTAAAATTGTGTTGAGGATATAATACGGCACCGCTAAGCATGAATAGCAAAAACAAATCTTGTATGGACCTGGCATCCATTATGCGCAGGTATAGGTGTTTGAGTGTTCTAGAAGCAACATAGAGAAAAAAGAAGAAAGATGCCTAGAGTAGCGAGAGATGACGCATCCCCTTTCATATCCGCCCCCCACCCCAGCGGGCATACGTCCATGCATAGCCCAAGAAGATACTTTTATTCCACTTACTTCTTCGAGAGGGTGGCTAGATCAATGTGGCAATGTCTGATACGGGCGACTTGTATACGATATCTTTGTGGATATCCCGCAAGAGGATGGGGCCATCGTCTCATGGAATTGCATAGTTTGTCAATACGGAAGTAGATTGCGGAAGTTTGGTATAGTGTATCAAACGAAAGAATGTAGTGCTCTGCCATCTACACTGGTGAGACTGGGTGGCCGTTAAATGTGCGTATAAACAAAAAGCGGCAGAGCGTAGCAAGCCCACTAGAAAAGCATGAAATAATAGAAACATAGCGGTACTGATGCGAGATCAGTTGCGAGATTTCGGCCTACGAATACCAAGTTCTACCCGAAAGGCCCTAGAAGCCTTCTACATCCTTGACCGTGATCCCAAACTGAATAATGCTCTAATGCAGAATTTAAGATTGTGGCTGGTGCTTGAGCAGTCCTATGATGTTTTGGCGGCTGACTTTGATATCACCCTCAATCGAGATTTCGAGCGGCTGCAAGATATAAAGCGACGATATATTCTCGCGTACTCCCTATTTCTACCTTGGAGGAATCAAACGGCAAGTGAGGGGAGATATTTGAGACCAATTACGTATATCAACGTGACTGCCGCTTTTTCAGCCTTTGAAAACGGCGTCAAGCCAAACGTCAGCCAATAAAAGTATATCATCTATACCAACCACCGTCAACAATAAAAATTGAAATCGCACATAATCGAGAAGATGCCCAGGTTCAGAAATAAGAGGGCCTACAGATGGATTAAAATGATTCTGACTTAAATTACCTCCATCACCATCTGCTGCCTCAACGTGGCAGAGGGTGCAAATCCACGGACCTTACGCGTAAGAGAGCCGCAATCGCCAGGAAATGCACGTACAGCGCGAAGATACTCGACATCGTCAGAGCTATTTAGAATGTTGGAACGGCGACCGAAGCTGCCCCTGCCCGAGGCAACGGAGCGTGACGGATCTGCAGCACGGCACGTTGGCATCTGAGGCAGTACCTGGGCGATATGGCTAGTTCACGCGAACCTAGGCCTATTTCAACTGCCTAAAGTCTCCGCTTCCTCCGTGTTCAAAAAGAGCGGGCATACGTTTTGAGAAAGATCGCACAATTTGAGCTCGTATGGATATCATATACGGATTACGTTTTGCTCATGTTGGTAGGTATAGCGAATGCAAGCCATGACAGGGAGTCCAGCGGACCTCACGCGCGCAGGTGATTGTGTTAGAAGTGTGGATCGTGCCGCCTAGCGGTGGAAAGTAGAAGCCACATGCATTCACAAGCAAGCGAGCCGATTACATCGAGGCGACCACTACTTGATTTAAGAACCCGAAAAGCATGTTATGCACAAGCCAAAACTTGATATTTGTCGGATATTTGCGAAGGTCTGAATATGTATACTGTCGATCTGACCGGGATTCTGCGGAGTCGGAAGCCGTGCTACGTGCCAAAAAGCGTCTATGCTGTGATCAGTAGGCATCGCAGGGTTAGCTATGTACCGCGGCGTAGGACCATAGCAACTATCGAAAGTTTGTTCGTTTTGTTTTTGCTGCCACGCGGTTGGTGTAAACTTATAACTTTAGTGTATGCATGATACGAGAAATCATCGCAAAATGCTTGTTTCGTGCTCGGGGATTCATTGTTTGTAAGCCAAAGTATCGAGATCTCGCGCTTATAAATAGCAAAACTCACTGTTTGAGTTGACAAATATTTCAAAGGTAGGTCCGATCCAGGTCGTTACAGCTGACGATGGCGCCAATTTCCGTGGCCCAAGCAATAACCCTTCACCAGTGGGTAATGCGGGTCAGCATGTGGGCATGTCCGAGGACAAACTGCCCCTGGCGGCACCTCGCGATTGCCACATTCGCCCTGCGGTAACCATCGAGGAATTCTGCTGAATTAGAGTCAATGTTAATTCGAGTAGTTAATAATCACCACTTCCTTTTCGCGTCCTTGTACTGTCTGCCCCAAGCTGTGATGCTCGCGGGTGAAGTCTTTGGTACTGTTCTCTTTGTCCCGGGTGCTACGATGCGTCGAAGGACACTGTGCCATGTGCCTCTTCCTCCACAAGAATAACATTCAGTTGTTCAGAAATACCACTTCATTTGCCATCTCGTCGTCGAAGTGGTGCGCTGAAAACGACTATAAAGCGGGCCGCGAATTTGTGTAGCGGCCTTTGTTTGATATGAGTCCAAACCTGTCCGGCATTATCGCGTTGCGCTAGAGTATGGGAAGCGATCACCGGATGTGCGGGCTGATCGCGTCTGGGGATAACTCTTCAACTATGCGTGCTTTCGCTACGGCTTACTGAAACGTTGCAGGCTCCGAAAGCAACCTGATATTCAATATCCGAAGATAGACGCGCAACATCCTCAAGCATACGCTCTTGCCTGCCTTGTTGGGTCTTGTGTAGGATTGGCTGCGCGCACAAGCTGAAAAATCTATCCGCTAAGCACACTGCCGTTTCCCCCAGTGCCTGCTTGCAAACCGACAGTGACCCACGAGCTAAATCACACAGGTGGGGGGCCGTCGTAGTAATTGGCGGTGTACTACGCTATCGTAATCCTGACTCTGCTCGGCTGTGAGCTCGTCAATTTTGTCGCCGTAGCCCCATCGAGGCAGCCTATAAGGTAGTACGCCTTAATTTTGGTGTAACGCGACCGTACGCATGTTTTGCACGTCCTCAAAGTGGGGCAGCCAAACCGCGAAAGGAGTGGGGTCTGTATCCGCCTCCGTGAAATAGGGAACGTCAGGAAGTGCATCCCCTCCGAACTGTGAGGGGCTGTAGGGAGTTGATCGTGCGTTGTCCTACCGCGAATCGTTGAAGCCGTTCAGCAAAATTTGATATGTGTCATTTACCTGCTTGGCCAAAGCGTATGTCGAAG